GCAGCGCTTTTGGCATTTTGCGTTGGTGTCGGGAAAGTTGAATGATGGCGTTTGCCTTCACTCAACCTTTCTCCCCCTGCTTTCCACTTTGGTTGTGTGTGTGCGTGTGTATGTGTGTGTGTGTGGCACCCAAATATTGTTAATCCCATTGATTTGTGTTAATGATTGTCATTGACACTGTTGACAGAACTGTTTACGGAACCCATGTCCATGTGCCTGCCTCTTGCCTCTTGCCTCTTGCCCCATTGACCCCTCCCCCCGTCGATGACCCCGCCCCTCTCCTCCTATTTTCCTCCCTATTTGGGAACCGTTTCCGGATCCGGTTCTGTGGTCACTGGTCTTTGGTCTACGGTTTCTGGTCTCTGGTCGCTGGAAGCCAAATTTTATGAACGGTCACCGCAGCTGCCAGCTGAGGTGCTAAATTCAGTTTTGGCTTTGTTTAAATTTCCCCCGGTCCTCGGGTGTTGCTAACCTCGGGTTGCCAAACAGAGCAGAAAATTGTTGGAGTCATTTCCCATATGAATTATCCAATATTAAATTCTTAAATGATTAGTCAGAGAAGTAGAGGGGATTTCATTTTCGAATTTAATTTAGGAATTGAATTGCATAAAATTAAAAACAGTTATTCAATCTAATATTATATAAAATTTATCATCTTAAATTAGCTGTTAAGTAAAAAACACATGAAGATAGATTTATTACCTTTTTAGGTATTTATCTAGGAAATCGGTTTAATTGCATCTCCCCAGCTTTGAAAATATCAAGTTAAAGGACATTTTTCGCTCTGTGGTCCCAAGGACAATTCTCGCCGGTTCACTTGAGCGGCTGCAAGTTGAAAATCTCAAGTGGACGAAGTCCGGGATGTGTGACTTCCCCAGCCGCCCGCTCCTCTGCAATTCGATGTCTCCCTGCCTCTGTTTGCTTTGGTGCTTGGCTTGTATTGATATTTCACGAGAAATCAACACAACATACAAATAGTCAAGCACAGGCTTCCTCTCCACCTATTTCCCCCTCCACTCCCCTCTACTCCAAAGCCCACTCACCTTTGAGAGATTTCCAACTTTGTCACCATTTGCAGCGGAAATGAAAAATCAAATCGAAGAAAGGCACAGGAAATGTAGCTCTTCGCTTTTCACTTCAAACTCTGTGAGTGTGAGTGTGGCCATGTGTGTATGCATGTGTGTGTGTGTGTATGTTGTGCTGTTTAAATTTAGCCAATGTCTATAGAAGTGACTGCTGGAGAGGCTCTCCACTGTCTACTACAAAACTCTCTCCATCTGGATCTGTGTTTGAAAATGTCCTTGCCGCTCCACGTGGCTCTTTATGCGTGTATGTGTGTGTGTGTTTGGTAGTCCTAACACACATGTCAGTGTGCCGTTCGAAAAACCTATAGGTAGTACATCCCACTCCAAGTTGCAGTCTAGCTTCAGACATAGAATTGTTTTTTCGTATTGTTTTACAAACGTTGTTTCTCGATACTCTTTTAATTAAAGGTTACCAAAAGCACATAATCAAATTGAAAACATAAACAGAAATCCTTGTAACAAATTGATACTCAGATACTTCCTATGAAAAATTCACATAAATATTTTTTTCAAAATATATCCTGCCTTGCATCTATGGAGTGAAAAAGAAACAATTTGGGTAAATCCACAACACAAAAATAACTTTCATATTTGTTTGAGCTTAGAGCTATTATCCCCCAAATTCATATCTCAAGAATGACTCTTGTAAACTGAGATTTGGTGCTCAAGAATGGCTCCTTACTATTCAATAAGGTTTAGCTCTACTTTCTGAAGAGTAACCGCACTTCGATTGCGCCAAGTCAGCGTCACTCAGTTGTTTTCTCTGGGCATTTGTCTGCGCTTGAGACGTTTTTATCGTCTTGGCCATAAGCCTAAACAAATACAAACAATTTTGCTCAACTGAAAGGAGAGGAAAAACACGAGAAGAGCGGAAACAGTAGAGCCAACAAAAATGAGGCAGCGCTGAAAAACAAATTGTAAAGAGCTCGCAAAAAATATCAACAGAAATCAGCAGCGCAAAAAACAACGAGAATAGAAAGAGCAAACGTTGTGAAAATAGAGGGAAATCAATTGATTTCGGCTCAGACAGCTCTCAGCATTCAGCTCAAACCCCAAATACCAAAAACCCAGCCAAAAACCCAGCCAAAAGCCCAAGTCGAGGTACAAAAAGACACAAACTGTTGCTGTTGATTTATTGAAATCATTTACCGCAAATCAGACAATTGCCGCACAAGCCGTACAACTAATTAAATGATGAATGCCAGCGACAACAGCTCAGGGACTTAAACTCACCTAAAACCTCCCGTAAACCGAGTTCCCAAACAAATAGAATTCCCAGAAGTTTGATTGAACAATGAATGATTTAATTAATAAATAAATAGGTGTGTGCGTACGTGTCTCCATATCGGTCTCCATGGTTCAATGCGAAATTTCAATTGCAGCACAAGTGTGGCACGACAATTAATTATTGAGCGAGCTCAATGTGCGTCTTGTGCGTCTTTCGATACTCCCTCCCTCCACTTGTGCAACGGTGCGTATGCGTGACAACGTGTTGCAACACATTCATTCCTCGACTGCCGATTGTCGATGGCAGTTTGCAGTTTGCAGCTGCACTTGCTGTTCCAGCTTGCAGCTAGCAGTTTGCCGTTGAAGTTTACAGCTTACTGCCCACTCTGCCATTTAGTCAACTGTTTACTGTTTGCCAAATTCCGCCTGCTGTTTGATTTCAACTGCAAAATGGACCACAAATCAAATGGACAAAGCTACAAAGTCACACATCGAATCGGATGGACAGAGGCGACTGAGGACTGGGCAAATAGAATTCGGTAGTTGCTGGTAAACTGAATAAGACCCAGTTTCAGTTACATTTCGACTTGCCTGCAACATTGATTTGGCCATCAAATCGAATTACCATATGCCCGACCAAAAAAGGTTAATTCTCGATCCGATCCAATTCGATCGGATTCGATCCAAGCCGTTTTGATTCGAGGCAATCAATTTACCATTGTGTCGGGTGGCTTCTGCTCAATATTCTAGCGAAAATTTCGTATTTATTGCGGTCTGGTCTAAGGAACTGCGAGGAGCTCTTTCGGCCGGGTCGAGAGCGGCGCTGAGCCGCAAACTAGTTGGCTGAGTACTTCTCGATGCGCGGCAACCGCAACACAGCACACAGAAACTTTCGCAATCGAAAATGATAGCCTAAAGGGGGGCAGCCGAGCAAAATTTGTGTGAACTTTCCGATGCAGCAGCAGCGGCTGCCATCGGATGGGAAAACCTCGAGGAAAACCTCCATCCACTTTTGCCGCCGTTCGAGGAATTGTTTCATTTTAGACGGCATTGCCTAAGCCATCAAAGCCGCATAATACAGAAAATTTTCGAAGCCATGCGAAATATGTTGCCTACCTTGGGGCGCTTTCGGGTACTTGCTACTTGTTACTTGATGAAAATGCAATTAGTGCGCGATTTGAATTTGATACCCCAGCGTATTCGCACTTGAGCGGCGAAGGAGAAGTTTGCCTCCTTTGTCGAAGACAAAAGAATTCAATTATAATTGCATTATGGCCAAAAGTTTCCGCTCATCATAATGCGATCAAAATATTGCGAATTAAACGCGTTTGTAAATCCATTGAAATTGCCTGCCAATGGCAAATGGCAAATGGAAAATGGGAAATGCGGAGTGGAGTGGAGAATGTAAAATGGAAATTGGGAAGTGGTAAATGGGGGTCGATTAAGCAGGCGAGTCGTCGCACTTAAATGGCTCAATCAGACGTGAAATTTGTTCATTTGCGCCAGCCGAGTGCATGAACAAATGCATGATTGAATGGAAAGCACACACACACAAACACACAGACACTCAGCAGTGTCACACAGATACTCACACCCACGTGTATAGAGAAAATCAGGTGCCTAGACATGTAGAAAGCGTGACGTCAAAAGGTGAACGAAATGAAATTGAAATATAAATACAAAACGCATCAGGCGCATAAGCAGAGCAATCAAGCGCGAAATCTGTGCACAGCAATGCATAACTGCAGTCCCTCTTTATGGGAAAGAGATGGGTAGAACAACGGCGAAAGAGACGGGTAGACGGTGGGTTCAAAATGAGAGGGCGCCATTCCATTCACTGTCAACTAGGAATGTGTAGACATCATTTAAGTCACTCCCGCATAAACATACTCACACTCACACGCACACACACTAACACAAGTAGACAGAGAAAGGAAGAGAGGAACGGTTATTAGAAAGAGAGCGCAATACACACACGGCTGCCAAGAGAAAGAGATGGGCGATTGGTGAACCGCCAAGGCAAATGGCAATGCATTGACATTATTGACTTGCTGTCGTGGCATGCAAATAACAATGCCAAGCCCCACTGAATTTTCCCCCGATTTTTCCCGCCCCCTTCGCCACCTTTCTCCTCCCATTTCGAGAGCTGCGAAAATATTTGCCAGTCGAGACAAAAAATTGGCAGCGATGCGAGCCGGCAAAACAAACCTAGCTAGCTAAACAATAATGAAAACAAAAACGTCTGACTAAAAACAACGGCGGCGTCAACTATTCCATAACAATAATACTGATATGCAAAACAAGGAGCACATTCAAACCATTTAGTTAGAAGCGACAAACAAACCCCAATCACTTTAAATAAATAAAGTGCATTTAATTTAATGTTTATTACCATTAAAAAGTTACATTTGCAGTTTATTTTAATAGTAGCGAGTAATGTAAAAGCGCATTTATTTGTTTAATTCTTTAATGACTTAGGTAAATTGTTTTAAACTATTGTGTCACATTTAATGTCGCTTTTAAAGTTAACAATGGGATTCCTGTGTACATTTTGTTTTGATAAATTTGTTCAACCGGTTTAGGTGCGACTCAATATTCAGATATTACCTCGAACCAGTTGGTGAATCATCACCCACAATCCATTGTTAAATTATTTACAGAACAATGGAGAGGTTCAGTTGGATCTCAACATGCCTAGCGAATGGGGTAAGAAAATGTGTAACTTCAGTTTATAATATTGTGTAAAAATTCCACCTGCCCGTGCCTGTGTTCTCCTCAGTTTTTCTTGTCATCTGCCTAATCCCGATGGCCTCCGGGGGAACAACGGCGCCACCTTTGAGCGCCAGTCCCATAGTCTTTGCCAGGAATCTATTCCGAGTCCTAAATGAGGAGAATCCTCCCAAGAACATGATGGTTTCTCCGGCAGCTGCCCGAAGTGCCATGACCTTGGTTTTCATGGGAGCTGGTGGCAAAAGTATGGAAGAACTGCGTTCTAAATTGATCCTCGGAGCAGCCAATAAAACCGAAATCGCCAAACAGAATATGGAAACCTGGATAGACGAGTGTTCTTGTGCCAAAAAGGGAGTGATCCTAAAGTTGGTCACTCGATTGTATGTTAATAGTGAAGATAAAATCCGACCGGAATTTAACACAAAGGCCATGGACTTCTTTAACGCTCAAGTTGATCCCCTAAACTATTTGCAACCCGAAGATGCTGTGAAGAAGGTTAACAAATGGCTGGAGAAGCAAACCTTTTACACAGTGAGAAATCTCTTCACCCCTGAAGATATCAATCCCGATTCCAGTGTGATGCTGGTCAGCTCTCTGTTCTTTCGTGCCAAATGGGCCAAGATCTTTCCTGTGGAAAATACAAAGGTTGACGACTTCTGGATTAATCCCCGTCAGCGAATGGAACTTCCAATGATGCAACAGATCGGTCAATTTCGATATGGCGAATCCAAGAAACTCAAGTCGCAGATTCTGCAGATTCCCTTCGAGAAATCCAACATTACCTTGATGATAATCCTGCCAACGGATATCGATGGGTTGCCAAAATTGGAGGAGAAGCTGGGACTGGTTGATCTAAATGAAGTGGCGGCAAAAAGTCTGTTAAAGGAAGTGGATGTGACGGTACCCAAATTCAGAATAGAGTGCGAAGTGGATCTAAAAGTGCCAATGCAAAAGGTAGATTAAATACTTCTGTTCTAAAGTTTTCTTCTGCTGACATCAGTACTTATTTTAGTTGGGAATCAATCGCATATTTGAACCTGACCAAGCGGATTTGAGTGGCCTGTTTGCCGATAAAACACCTCAAAGAATTTCGGAAGCCAGACATAAACTATTTCTAAATGTTACCGAAACTGGTTGCGAAACAGCTCCTGAAACGAAAGGTACGTAAAATTTAATTTGGCTTACATTTGCATTTATAAATTTTTATTTCAGACATTAAGCCAGAAGTCATCAAGGACAATCCCGATCGCAAGGTTTTCAAGGCTGACCGACCCTTCGTTTTCGCGATTCGCAACAAGAAAAACGTTTACTTCGTGGGCCATTTCAGTAAGCCCTAATTGAGCAGGAATGTTGCAAGTATTTTGATGGTGATGGCCCCCCGGCAATCACGGCAAAACGGCCAAACAGCAATACCCCAATGAACATCAAATTATTGCCAAACAAATGTACACAATGCATCCAAAATACAAAACCAGCGGGCACAGGCAAACATTTATGCGATGGGGAGTTTTTTGGGGTGCAAAATAAATGGCAACATGGCTGTTCCCGGACAGATCATTGCGAAAATTCGCAGTTAGGAGTGGGAAGAAAAGGGGGGCTCATAGAGATAGAGAAGGGAAAATGGGGAAAATGGCAACAAAGAAACGGCGGCTGGCCAAAACCAAATGAAAAGTAACAAGGAAGGAAAATAGTTGCAAAGCAGAGGTTTATATACTCTATCAAACTTAAACAAATTTAGTTTGCAAACAGTTTAAAGCTTAAAGAAAAATCATATAAATTCGTCAGGTTAAATAAATCTTGTTGTACACAAATACTTTTTCGTCTCTAAGCATTAAAGCTAAAATTAAATATTCCCTACATATGAAAATAAATGAAAATAAGATGTACCTTAAACCAAACTGCAAGTTACACATCTCTTGAAACCCAAACCAACTTTAAAGCAGCCAGAAGGACGATAAAAGGCCAAAGGAAATATGTTTACCCCCGGGAGAGTAGAGAAAAGCGGCTGCAAACGAGCATCGCCGGGATTCTTTTGCTTTCGCCCCGGCCAGGGAAGCCAACTTGTTAGCCAATTTTAAATACAACTGCTGCCACTGACAGTAATCAAGATTGCACGGCAATGCCGGCGCGGCTACAACAATGCCAAATGCCATTCCGGCCAGCAAGGGCCAACAATTGAAAAATAAGTAATTTCTCAACTGTAGTGAACTTCGCTGAATCGGAGGAGCAATGGGAGCAGAAGGAGCATCGGGAGGAGCAGCAGGAACAAATGGAGGAGCAGCAGTAGCAGCAGCAGCTGAGACAACCAGCCAAAGTCCGAGCCAGAAACAGAATCAGAATCAGAATCGGAATCGGAATAGGAATCGGAATCGCAGGAGATGGAGTCGCTCGTCCGGTTGGAAAACGAAAACTTTGCCCGTCCAATTCATCGATGATTGTCGTGCAACGCGATGCGATTCTGGTTGTGATTCTGATTCTGATTCTGGCAGTGGCAGTGGAAGTGGAAGTGGCACTGGCACCGCCGTCTGCCACTGATGGCCATTCCAGCAGGCAGCCAGCCGGTGTGGCACGAATGTTTATCTATCCCCCAGATTCTTGCCCCAGCGGAGGAGCAGCCGAAGCCGGAGCATTTCTCTTCCGTCATCGCAGCGGAAGTGCAGCTGCACAAACTTTGGCAACAGCCAGGGGAAGTGTTCGAGTTTCGAGCTGTTTCTGGCCATGTCATCTGTGTCAAATGCTAATGCAGAATGTCACCATAATCAAATTACCGAAACTCTGAGCACAGCGCAATGAATTCGATTGCTAGTTGAGGGAGGCCATGAATAATTACAAATAAATATGGAATACGGAATATGGAATTTCATATCGCAAATACTTGGGCGCACATAGTCGTGCACATAATCCAATTAATTTAATTGCTATGCATGCGCTCGTGTTTGATCCACTCGAAATGCCAATATCTAATTGTGCTCTTGCATAATCTATGGGAAAAAATTGACCCCGCTTTTTCAGTGCATAATTAATTTGAATATGAATATGAACATTACTGGGATATCGAACCGGTCCCTTGCCACATGGTCAATTCTATGGCTACGACCGATTACGAAATGTAATTTAAAACCAATCAAACGCATTCACATGCAACAACGAGCGGCAAATGCCGGCGGTCACAAAATGCATTAAGCATCTTTGTTGGTCTTCGCCAACAGATAGTTTATATAGGGTCAACAGGGGGCGGTGCATTCGGGTTCAGATAGTTGAATCCTCCTCCCAAAAGCACACGCAATTCGATATAGGTGGAGGCAATTGCTTTACAATGGGCCGAGCAATCCGTTTAATAGCTGCAACAATAAGGGTAACCGGATCTGCATTATGAAACAATCACTTGCCGAGCGTTAGATTAGGTAAACTCAAGTTGGGTATCATAACAATAAGGTCAATGGAGCTTTGCAGCTCCGATTTGTGGGCAGATAGTTCAGTTAATAAGGTACTAATTGGCTTGTAAGAAGTTGTGGTAACTTCGACAAATTAACAATAAGATAGTGAGCTTTATAATGTTTATTTTTGGTTTTCTACTTTATTATTTATTTATACTTACCAGTTTTCATTAAATTTGTTTGATTTATTTAACATAATAAATAAAACATAGTAAAACACAAAGGTTTGTCCCATTAATTTTATAAGAGATGCTTCAATGCATTTGAAATACCCACTCCAATCTTGACGTCATCATTTGCCATCTTGTGTGGCAAAAGTTAATCAACTAACTACTCAGCCACGCCCCTATCCATCCCGCCCCCGCACTGCAATGGAGAGCAACTCCTGAGGGTCTAAAACTAACTTATTTATGGATATCCCTGACTTTGACTTACGTGCCTGCCATTCGAATGAAGTTTCGCTCCTTGCGAGTCATATTCATATGAGCTGTGTCCTGTAGGTTCGCCAGGGTATTGCCATTTGCCAGGACCCGAGTCCTTCGTCCTGCGTCCTGCGCACCGAGTGTCTATTGCCAAGCGTGCCACATGCTGCAGGAAATTACATTTCAATTTTAAAACGACTCTCATTGCCAGCTTCCGTTACAGTTGCTCACCTCCATTTGCCCATCGCGGCAGGTGGCCGTGTGGCAGGTGTGGCAGGTGTGGCATTCGAGGCAGCTGAGGCTGGTGAGGCTGGCAGGGCGATGTGAGACGCGGCGAGGCGGCACACAAAATGGCCTGCCATGAGCGGCACTTATCGCTCGACTGCAGCTTAAGCGCCGGTTAATCCATCACAAAAGTGCATGCATTCCTCTGCCCAAGCCCCCCTCTTTTCCAGTCCAATTCCACAACCCCCTCAACCCTCCTTCAACCCACCAACCATTTCCATGTGCTGCGGGGCGTGCAAAGTGCTGCCGTTGCTGATAATAAGCCGTCATCCAGGCAAAACTCCTGATGAGCTGAAACTGAGGCCGAAACTGACGGTGCACCGAAAAAAATGTTTACTCAATAAGTAACTTGTCTACTTAACAAACCAAATTTAACAACAGTTCTATCATGAAATAATAGCAACATTTTCTAAACAATTATTCAGTGATTATACTTAATATTTTGCTTATTAAATATAAATTATTAAACTTAAATGGGAAAAATTATATTTTACTTATTATCACTTTTAATTTTTTTATTACATTTTAATATAATTGAAATTTTTAGCGTGTAGAGCTCCATAGTTGGACACGGCACACGGCTTTTCATTGCGGTTACGCATACGCCGCGTTGCCCCGCTGGCGGACGTGCGTGCCGTAAATAGCGAACGGAAAAGGCGGCGGGAAAGAAATGGAAATGGCAGGGCTCATCCATTCCACTTGCAGGCGAATTGCAAGTCAACGCCAAGTGTCTTAAGTATGCAAAAAGAAATCTGTGAGCGCTGAACTCTTAACTCAAGTCTGGACAGGTGATTTAAAAGCCATTTGTCAGCCGAGCGAGCGGGGGTCGCTGGTCTGGGTGGTCTGGTTGGTCTGGGTGATTGGCTTGGGTCAGTGAAATTATTCAAATTATCCCCGGGAAGATTTCGCTGTCAGGCGCCGGCAGACGACTGCAGTTTGTGGGGGACGGCAATCAAATGGCCTTAGTGGCATTCTTTTATCGTTCGTCCGCATCCGCGTCTGCACTCCACGCAATCCTCCAGTTGACAGCCAACAGCCAGCAGCCAAGAGCCACGGAACCAGGCTCCAAGCTCCCAGCTCCCAGCTCCAGGATCCAAGGATCCGGAATCCAAGGGACCGCTTATTGTTGCCGATGGCAACCGACTGGATATCCCATCTATTATAAGTGCTTACCACTCGCCGTCGAGCATTGACATTTGGCTAATGGCGAAAATGTCACCGAAATGCAGACCCAGACGCCGAACGGCGAGCTAACAGCTTTTGGCAAAGGGGCGTGGTCCGGCATTTGGTGGGTCCTTACCAAACCCGAAATTACAGAGGAAAACGAAACGGAAATCATAATTTCGCAGCCTTGACCCATCAGTTTTTTCAATCAGCTAAGCTATAATTTGATTTTTCTAACCATCAATCACTGTATAAACATCGATTGGGGATCTTAATCTTAGGAATGCCAGGTATTATAATTTATATTTAAATTTATTTTAACCACTTAAAATTTTATAGACCCCGTAGAGGTTCAACTATTCATCAAATCTTATCAAAATCCAGAGGGGTCCACGATTCTTATCCGCAGCACCGCACATAATTCATTTAACAGCGGGAAGTTGTGGTTGTGAGCGGAGCGAATCAAAAGCAATCATAAATCAAATCATTTGATTCATTGATTACATAACACATGCAATCCTGTGCGTTTGCTTGTGTGTGTGTGTGTGGCAGCTGTCTTAACGCGCCTATTTAATCAACCCAAACCCATGACCTTATGCCACGTTCCACCCAAATCCAAGTCTAAATGGGAGGACCCCACCGAGTCTAGGAGCCCGGCTATTGATTAATAACAATGCCCAGCGGGGGGCGCGAAAGAAAATTGCCTGCCTGGATTACCTAATGGGCCACAGTCGCCAGGACTCCCCTCTTGCGATGGATGATTGGTGGAGGTCCTCAACTTAAAGCTGTTACAAAAATATGGCAACAATTAAAATTGCTGTGGCCCATTGTCTGAGCACACACAAAAGCAATTAACTGTCCGATTTGATAACAATGACAAATATAAATATACGTGTGTGCACAGGGAGAAAATAGAGGTTACCTTGATAGTTTGATATTTTTGAGGTAGGGTAGAAAAGGGTAGAAAATATTGCTTTACAATTTTAGAAGATTAAATGAGTAATTATCTTTATTATTATTTTAATTTGATAGTTTCCTACGTATGGTTTTTTTTTAAGATCTCTATAGTTCTTGCATTTTGCTCAGTGTCTGTGTGCTTGGGCCGTAATTGAAAAGGACTCGATGCAGCAGAGTCTGGTAAATGACTAAAAAACATACAAAATATACAAAATACAAGGAGCGGGTGA